ATGGGGGTGCGAGGGTTGGGGCACAGCACCCCACCAAGGGAGCAGGGAGGGGCCAGGGAAGAGGTGCCAGCCCTTTGCAAGGGACAGGGGACAAAATGTCTGGTCTTGGGTCCTGCTGCCTATTCCCAAGTATAAGGGGTGAAGGTGAAGGGGTTCAGCTTGTACCCAGCACCTGTGTAGAACTTATTCTGAAATTCCACCCTAGAAACACAGGACAGAAAAGGAAAGGTCAACATTGAAATCAGCACCCCAACCCCTCCTTCACACACACACACCAACACCCCCCACCCCATCTCCACTCCAGTGGGGGTGTCCAGGGACAATTGCAATCCAAACCCAGGACTTCCACATCATGGACCTGCCCACATACTCAGGTCCCTTGGAGGGGTACAGCCAGCACTACCAGGACAGGATGTAATGACTGGGGACAAACTCCCCGCACCTCCCCAGCACAGGCCAATGCTCTCACCAGTGCAGACGCAAGGCATGCAGGAAGGCTGAGAGCCCTTCCATCACCAGCAGGATGGCCACTGTCAGGACTGCGAAGAAGGCAAAGACAGGCACCAGCAGCACACCACCTGCTGCATAGCTCAGCCTCCGAAAGCCATTCCGCATGACCATGGTCCACAGCACCTCCGACAGCTCTGCAGGGGAAGAATAAGGAAATCAAAGCCTGGCACATCAATGCAGCTCTTCTTGCCCCAGTGCTGCCTCTTGCCACGGCCTTGCCAGCCAGCACTGAGTGTCACAGAGCACATGTGTGAGTGCACACACACATCATGCAGAACATGCAGCTCTGAGAAGGAAACACTCACGTGCATGTGCCAGGCTCAATGCCCACAGACGCAGGTAAGAGGCAGTGTTGGAGATGCAGCCCAGGCAGTACTCGATGGTGTGTATGGCCTGGTGCATGAAGACATCAGAGAGCACAAAGTCCTGGGGGCACAAAAGGGGATGAATACCCTTGTAAGAAGCCAACACCAGGGACTGGAATGCAGGATCTCACACCATGAAGGGAACTCTCAGTCTGGGTCCCACCTAAATGCACAGTCTCCGTCTCCTCCTGGTGGTGGGCTGGTACAAATGTGCTCTGCCTTCTGGGGGTGGCTTGCAGCAGGGACAGCTGCCAGGATGCAGGACAGGGCATGGCCCACTGCATCCTGGTGGCAAAAAGGCCCAGGGCAGAATGCTCCATGGAGACTGCATCCCACACCTGCCAATGCCTTTGGGCCCATCCCCCTGCTGCCACGTTCACCCATGCATGGACCTTGGGGACCCATGCTCAGAGCACTGGGAATACCAAGATGGTCATGGGGCGTACCGTAGCCGGAGGTGGGGTAATCCATTCCTGATCAGTCTACCCGCACCATAGCCCTGTCCTTCTGTGCTGGGGAGTTGAGGGGGGTTGGGTGGGAAGTGCCCCACTGCACTTCTGACATGCACAGTGGGTGCAGGGACACTCCACAGGATCAAAAAGTTCTGCTTCAGAGGGCCCTACGCTGGTGTGAGGACATAGAGTCTGGAACATGGCCCCAGCCTGACCTTCCCTGTGGCTCTGCCATCCCCACAACACTGTCCCAGCACAAGTAGCACTGGCAGGCAGACCCCTCCACCCAATCACCACAGGGACCTACCTCAGCCTTGTGGCCTGGTGCCCCATGCTCCACATCCTCCTTGGTCACATTTACTGAGTTCCTGTCCTCCTGGAGCAGGGACTGGTTCTCCTCAGTATCTCCAGAGCCTCTCAGTAGGGATGGTTCTAGCTGTATGAAATCAGGACCAAACATGTCAGATTCGGGAGATGCCCCTGACCCCACCAAAGAGAGCTAAGCTCCCCTGACTCCCTGCCCTGAGCATCCCAGGCACCTACCACACCCCTCCCTAAGACCATTCCCCTACAAACCTATACCCCCAGAAACTGAGTTTCCCATTTTGCCAATCCCCCCAGGCACTTACAGTACCCTTGCAGCAGACAGCATCCCCCAAAAGAAACATGTCTTCCCCAACCAAAACCAAGCCCTTCCTGCCCCTGAGAACTCACTGCAGGAGCAGCCCCACTCCTCTGGACCAAGGGCAGTGAGGAGTGCAGCTGGACACGTGCCCTCCAGGACCCCTACCCAGCTGGGCTCTTACCCTGTGGGGGGAACTCCCCTGGCGGCAATGCTGGCAGTACTGGTAGAGGGGTGTCCCAAAGAGCAGGACAGGCACAGAGGCCAGGGCCAAGATCACCAATACCATCTGCACCGTAACCTGTAGCAGAGATGGGAAAAGGAAGGTGAGTGCAGGGGCAGAAAGAATGCTGGGCTGCTCTGGTTCTGGCAGTCTGATCTGGTGCAGCTCAGGGGAGACTGTGGCAGGGGAGGTACAAGCCAGATGGACCTGTTGGTCTGCTCCAGGAGAGCAGTGAAGGGGGCACCAGACTAGATGAGTCCACTGATCAGGGGTTGTGGT